CCCCCCCCCCCCCCTTGGCCTCAAGTCTTGACTAGGTCAAGACGAAGAGGATGCATAAATGAGACGAGAACACGTTTCGGAAAGCTCTCGACGAGACGGCTTCAACGTCGACGTGCTCGGTGTTGCAACTCATCCTGTTGCGGAGAAGAAATCGAGTTTGAAAACCAGGTCAGGCGGGGGGTGTTATCTTGTGTAAGCTACTGTACAGAAATGGCCTGCAGTTAAGCAACATGTCGTTAAGAAACAGAGACTCAATTTTTCACGAGCACAAGGAAGGAAGCAGGGCTGAGAGCAAACAGCTTACAGGTGGATCCTGCACTAAACTCAAATGAACATGCTGTGCTCGAAACAATGAAAACAAGAGAAACTGAGCCTCGACTCGATCTGGACGTGCCTACCGCTCGCGTTGGTGGCCTTCAAAAAAGAAAGCGTGCTCGCGTATTTTCTTAGACGGATAAAAAGAAATCACCCACCTGTCTGGCCCAAAAGAACGTGCCCGCGTTAATTAGGCAAACAATTCACAATCAATAAATATCAAAACAAATAAAGTTACAACCAAAACAACCACGACAAAATGATCCCGCACCTATTATGAACATTTCCGGTGATGCTCGTCCGGTGTTGAAGTGCAGGGTGTTCCCTCCCCACTTACCGCTCGGGTTGGTGGCCTCGAAAAAAAAGGCAGCTTCCACTGATGCTATGAACTGCCAGTCTATCCTAGACTCTTCTCTATGGATGGAAATGGGTTCATTGTGTCGTATTCAGAAGAACAAAAAAATACGAAAAGCTTGTTCGCATTATTTTTAAACAGATAAATAATGACGCACCTTTGTGAACATTTCCGGTGATGCTCGTGCGGTGTTGAGGTGCAGCGTGTCCCTCCCCACCCTGACCCCTTTCAGCACCGCCCTAGTCTCTGCGAAACGTGCGTCGGACGGGTTCGCTTCCATGAGGGTGCCACCAAGCTGGAGAGGGGGGGGGGCATCAGGGAATNGGGGGGGGGGGGGGGGGGGGGGGGGGGGGGGGGGGGGGGGGGGGGGGGGGGGGGGGGGGGGGGGGGGGGGGGGGGTTGAGGGGGTTCTGTGGAGTCGCGAGTTCAGCGGCAAGGAGGAGGGACGTACTCGTGTTTTGCATGGCTTAGCTGTTAGACCACTACCGGACCCACGCGGCGTGACAGCCCCCCACAAGGTTACACAGCAGCAGCAGCAACAACAACAATGAAACAAAAAGCAACCGCCACGAACCTGCTCCACCGGACCCACGCGGCCGGACAGCCCCCACCCCACCAGCGCCGACTGCAGCAGCCTCTCGGCGAAGAACGACCACACGACGACCTTGAGCATACCCTCCAGCAGCTCTCTCTTGGACGCCCTCCTCCACAATGACCGCAAGAACCGCCGCAAGCCATCGCCGCCTTGTTGCAGAAGACAGGGGTTAGGTGCATACCGGGTTCGTAGACACAGACGCGCGCGCGCAGGGAGGTTACTCATGGTCGTGCATGCCGTAGTCGTTTGATCATTAACCTCGCATACCGGACCAGGGGGGGGGGGAGGGTTCCGTTTCGACAGTGGCGGCTACGGTAAACCATGGTACGATCATCGATGGATGGGAAAGTACGATTGGAAAGGAGTCATGGAATGCTCGCTCGCTTCGGCGCCCCCCTCCACGACGGTTGCAAGAACCGTCGCAGACCATCATCGCCTTGTTGCAGGAGAGAGCGACTTGTGTGGGTGGTGAATGCCCGGTAGAGACACGCGCGACGCGGGTAACCGTGTGTATCGCCTTGTTTGCAGAAGAGAGCGGTTTGGGTGGGTGGGTGAATGTCCGGTAGACACACACGCGACGCGAGTAACCGTGTTAAGACACACACGCGGCGCGGGTAACCCTGTTTAGACACACGCGCGACGCGGGTGACAGTGTTGAGACACACGCGCGACGCGGGTGACCGTGTGCTCCGCTTACAGGAGCAGTGGCGGCTACGGTATAAAATGGTCGATAGAGGAGAAATTAGGGGTTGTAAGAGAGCCAAAATTGCTTGCTCGCTTCGACCCACTCGTCCACAACGTCCGTAAAAACCGGCGCAAACCATCGCCGCCTTACTGCAGAAGAGATCGGCTTGGAGTAAAACACGCGGCCCAAAATACGCGAGGCAAACCATGTGTTCCGGTTGCAGCAGCCAAGGGAGGCTACGTATGGTAGAAGTCGTAGCCGATAGAAGACAAAGCACGGATTTTGATGCGGGGAAGTCGCACCTCCGGCATTGCATCGGCAGCCTCTTCTCTTTGTTGGGTGCGGGTGGTAAAGTGTTCTGGAGTGCTTCGATAAAAACGATCCCATACCCCATGGTGTGGCATTGATCGGCAGCCTGGTTGTAGATGCGGAGTATCGTGAAGCGCTTTGTAAAATCGATCCCACACTCCATGGTATGGCAAGTGATTGGCAACCTGCTTGTGGACGCGGTGTGCTGTGGAGCAAACCGCGCTTCGAAAAAGTCGATGCCACGCCCTATGGTGTGGCATTGATTGGCAGCCTGATTGTGGGCGCGGAGTGTTCTGGAGCAAATCGCGTCTTGGAAAAAATCGGCCCTACGAAGTGCGCTCGCCCACACTTTGCATGCGCCACTATTGCTGAAATTATGATCACTTCGTGGAACTCCAACGCGAATATGACAGGCGTGACGCAAGATATCACACCTCCAGGACCAACTTTTCAAAGCTCGATTGCTCCACAGCAGCTGCGAGTGGCAACGGCGCAGAAAAGGCGGCACCGGGACCGTCTCATCGAGAGCTTTCCGAAAACGTGTCGTTCGATGGAGACATTCTCTGCTGGGCGGAGTAATCGAGCTTAAAAAAATCGGTCCCACGGGGCGTGTCCTTACTTGTGTCACCAACGGTACCATACGCGTCGCGAAGAAAAACAGCACGAAAGGGCTACGAAACGAGATTGAAGCTACACGGTAACGATTAATGCGTTACCTCGGGGTAGTCGCACTACTGCCCTCCGTACAATGGTTGGTTTGTTGTTGTTGTTGTTGTTGTTGTTGTTGTTGTTTTTATTGTCTTCACATAGAAACCGTTCCGGTCTCTGCTCAGTACCTTGTCATGTCCTCACTGGTCCAACTGACGCGGACGCCTTGCATGGTCACAACCCAACCATCGCCCCGGTGGTCTAGTGGTATCCTCGTAATCCGCTAGTCGCAGAGGTCGAGAGTTCGAATCCACATGGGATGGAAAATTTACGAAATTTGCGGGTGAAAGCGAAATATAGCTAAAAGCTCTCGTGAGTACCAAACTTCAACGTTAGCACCGTTGACGAGGGAAAGGGGCGGCTGGACCCTTCTCGCGATAATAATAAAATTCAGCACGCACCGCAGGAGGAAGGTGCGACATAAAAAGAAGAAAAAAGCCCTGGTGTTTACCCCCTCCTGTGCGACCCTGGATGGTTGTAGTTGTACGAAAAAATACACTGAAAAGTGTAGTATTCTACATACGCTGAAAAGTGTAGTACACGTCTCACCACGAAACATGGGGGGACTGTCGCCGTAATAAATAGGACGAAAACACACACACCCCAAAGGGGGTACACCATTCTAGAAAGAAACAAAAATTGGATCCCAGAGAGGCCCTCGAAGACGCGATTTGTTGCCAAAACGAAAAAGAAAAACAACTTTTCAACAAAAACCACTAGGAAACAATTCCCATGTTGGAGCACACCTGTACGACAGAAAGTGCAGCGGGGTTGATAGGTGATTTAAAGCGTTGAAACTAAAAAAAAGAGGGTACTGACAAATAACTGTATCAAGAGTCAAGCGCACGAAAAGCAGGCAATGCTGTGTGCATCTGCTAAATAAATCGCACCTGCGGCCTCGAGAGGAGAGGAGGTGTTCGCCGTGGCGCCAGTAGGACCTGCTCCAGACAAGCGCAGCCAGAACGGGACCGGTTCAGCAGCAGTCGCAGCAGCAGCAACAGCAGCAGCGGCAGGAGTAGGTCTAGGCACCAACCCTGTCTTCGAGCGCCCCGGCACCGTCGCCGCCTCGACGCCAGCGCCCCCGCTACTAGCAGCCGCTACAGCAGTAGCAGCAGTAGCAGCAGCGCTCGCGGACGCCCCCGGAACAGCAGTAAAAACGGCGGAAGCTGTCGCAGCAGCAGTAGCGGCGGCTGCACAAGCCCCGGTATAACGCCAGCGGCGGCGGCCACGGCGGTTTCCTCGGGCAACATCATCGGGCGAGGAACAGGGGGAAGGATACGGCGGCCGCGCCAAGGTGGTAGCGGTAGCGAGGGACCGGACGCCTGGTTCTACTACAACTGCTGCTGCTGCCGTCACGCCCCTTCCCCTCCTTCTCCGGCCTCCTCCCCCCCACCCCCCTGTTCTTGCTGCAGTGCCCCCTCTTGCCACCGCCTCGGGGGGCGACCCGCTTGCCGTGCGCGTCAGCGAACACGGCAACGAGTGGCACGATGACGTTCTGGCAGCAGCAGCAGCAGCAGCTAACCCTGACCGCTCCGTTCCTGCTACTACTGCTGCTCGCCCTGGCACCGGCGCGAGCGGAGCGGGGGCTCCGTTTCGACTTCTTATCCTTCCCTTCCTCGCTGCTGCTCTCCCTGCCACCCCTCTAGTCATACTCCTGAGCGCCGAGGGGAAGCGGGGGCTTCCTCCCTGCAGCAGCACGAGACACCACCTATTCCCGATCGGGTTTTCGGAGTTCAGGGGGAATATACAAGGCGTTGGGGGGGTGGTGGGGTGCGACGGATGTCAGCATCAGCAGCAGCAGCAGAAAAAAATAAGACAAAACCGACGGTCGCTTCATGCTCGCCTGATGTTGCTGCTACTTATACCTGTCACAGATTACTGCTGTAGCCCCGTCTAGATGGCGATATGAGACACAACCTTTTCCCGATCATTCTTCTTCGGCCAACAGGCCGTGTAGGGAGGGGGGAGGGGGGGGGATGAGAGGGTGTCAGCAGCAGCAGCAGCAGCAGCAGCAGCAGCAGCAGCAGCAGCAGCAGTGGCTAAGGGCCGATGGAAAAACGACGGTGGATACCCCGTAGTTTTGCTCTCCTGCTGTTCGCTGCTACTGCTACCGGTACTGCAATACAGTTAGCGTCCCCACTTCAGAATTTGGTGGTCAAGACTTCGGGCGTCGGAGAACTGAAAAAAAACGAAAGCACTTGAGCACCACTTATCGTGAGCCCGGCTACAAACCTCATACAATAAATCCAACACAGCGGCCATCTGTAGCACGACCCTATTTATAAGAACCAAGAACTCCAGCCTGGGCCAAAACAAGGCGAGTCTACTGCTGTATCTCCGTCTAGATGGCCCTAAGGCGAAAAGAACACCCGCGTGTTTGAACGACTTGTCGTGCGCTCGGCTACTCTGTGCTTCATGTAGTCTGGCACAGGGAGGCCATAAACAGAGCGTTGCGATGTGGACATTTGCCGCGCAGGTACCTATTCAATTGTAGGAAAAATAAGTACGCACACAGAGAGACTCCCATTCGAGATGTAACCAGTGTCGTGAGGGCAGACGAGACGTGTGTGATGTTGGGTCCACCAATGTCCAGGCGGGGCTCGGACGGTGTGGGCATGCGCCCGCGTTTTCAATGTTTGGCAAGTTAAGTTACTCTTTCATACCTCTCGCGGGTGTACCGTTCACCTATACTATGTGCAGGAACAAGTGTTGGCAATTGTTGCACGACGAACCTACAGCAATACAAGTACACGTTAGCTGGCGGAGGAGTACAAGTACTTACTACCGCTGCTGTGGGGGGGGAGAGAATCTAGGATCGCTCTTGACGACCACCCCGTATACTCCCACACACGTGACAATCCGGCCAGCAGTGCACAACCACAGCTCCTCCCTGTGGTGCATGGACAACTGCAGCTGTGCTGGGAGGTGCAACAAACCTGTTGCCACATGGCGCTGTGACGAGGGTACCCATGACATATACCAGTACATATCATTCATTGACAACCAGGCGGGCGACCATACATACGCTGTTCTTTAGGCAGTGGGGGTGCGCCTAATGTGTATACCAACGGCAGTACGATAGTAGTCCCGAGCTCCGCCTTGTTTGTACAGGAGCAGCGCTTACCTATGTACCCAAAGGGAGGGGTTGCTCTGGACGCACGCACGCGCTGCGTGCGAATGCCACCGCAAAAGCACAGCAACGTACAAGAGTAGTGCTTCACGGTACACCACTGTTTTGGTCTATGTTGACCGACTCCGCAGCGAGTCCACTACATACAAGCTTGGAGAGAGACCACACTCTCAGGTGCCGCCACCCATTTTGGTGTGTGTGGATCCATCATTGCAACGCACGAACAACCGCTGGGTGTGTCCATGCACTATCATGTAGAATCGACCGCTGCAACCGGCTGTGGGAGCCTCGCAGCAGGGAGTGTGTGAGCTGTCTACCTCACATGACCATCAAACTACGCCCGCTGTTTCGCGGATATTGTTGTCACTCGCCTGTCGGCGGAACTTCCAGCCCTTGGTGTTGGCTTCACTCTGCTGCTTACTGTTGTAGGAGACAGACAGCACCAGAGAGGATGTTGTTTGGAGTGGGCGTGCCCAGTGTTATTTGGTTTAGGAAATTTTTTTTTTATGCGCCGCTGGCGCGCAGAACTTATACACAAAACACGCCTCCTCCCGAAGCCTTAATCACTGGGCGTCAGTATCCAACTGGCGAGAGGCCTGACGGAGAGGTGGAAAGCTTATCTAGGAGGGGATAATCCTAGGCAAGAGCACCACGGCTGGGTGGATCAGGTACGTGGCTACTGACATTGCCAAGGTTTTCGGCGTAGCCTGTTCTGCAAGGCTAATGGTGAGGACATCGCCGAAGTGACTAGAAGTGACCTTGAAAAACGCGCCGCAGCTAGACAGTCACGGCAGTCTCGCCGCACATCACGCTGTGCTCATGACACATCATGAACGCGCTCCTTGTCCGCCTCTCTGCGAGAAGAAGAGTTCCGCAGGATAAGCATACATACGTCGACGCTTTATTGTGATAGTCGGCAGTGAAAAATGCGGCTGATATGGCCCAGTGCTTTCCACGGTACCTCATTCCACTCATAATAACTGAAATACCTTTCTTTTGGTGGAGGGAAGGTATCATGTTAACGAGTCTTTACACTACCGTGTAGTGCAACCAACCGGTACATCGAAATCTATGCGCAGGTTTGGCATACGACGCCTTCCTTAGGGATGCTTTGGGGGGTGCGCGGACTCCGGCGGGAGACGGGGCTACGGGGCATGGAGCGCGGAATCAGGACGATGCAGCTGACGGAGGGTGGGAGCCGCCCGCACAAGGCGGGGGGGGGGGGGGGAATCCCCAGGGAGGACTTACGTCAGACGTGGGAGCTCGCGCTGAGGCGGCCCGACAGGCAGGAGCAGTGGGACGGGATGAGGGGGAAACACACGATGAGGAGGGGGCGGAGGTTAGGCTTCCCAGCGAGGAAGATGGGTCGGAGTCAGGGGGTCCGACCCCACCCGCGGGAGCAGTGGGAAACGATGATGAGGAAACACCCGAGGAAGAAGGGGGAGATGTTGGGAATCCCGGCGAGGAGGGTGGATCGGAGTCACAGCGTCGCTTGGGTGAGCCCCTGCGCTTGTGCATTGTTGACGGCGCCGAGATATACATTCTACTTTGTTGATGTTGGCTACCCCTCAGGGGCCACCCAAGCACCCGCATACCACAACACTGTCGTAAGGTTTCTTCTTCATACTTGTACTTTGCATGTTTGAGCAGCTGAATCCCGCCGAATTTACCTGACTGATCATCCTTTCCAAGACAACACAGTAGTATAGTGGGGACGGGAGAGACGTCATCGCCTACTTGGTAAAATGTATTCCCGAAAAATGATACGAGGTACTACCGAGCAACTTCTCCTGGCGCATTGATCGATTTCCTAGATAACTACGACGACGTTTGGGAGGAAGGCTCGCAGGACAGCGAAGGAGACGACGATTCGCTTGACGGTATGGATGATATCGGGATCGACCTCGACGGAGACTTGCTGGTGGACGACGAGCCTTAGTTATGTGCGTTGGTATCCGACCGTCAATATAACGCCGTTAGTTTAACGGCTTGTGCCTTGCGACAATTAAATTTAGCACATATCGTAGGAGAGGCTTTCTGTGTGCCATGCGCAGAAAACACAGCCCGGTTCATCATATGCCTCCCCTCCAACAACAAAAAACGGTATATTGCACCAACAACACTTCGAAAATACAACGGGTAGCCCGCATTTTTTTTGGCGCCTTATGCGTCCCCCCCAGCATTGTCAGGGATACCATGGCATTAGCCCGGGTTTCGTTAGGCGTTTTTTCCGCAAAACAGCTTACGCGAAGATTCCCCTTCCCGACTTTTCGGTGTCTCGGTCCGATATTATTCTCGCAGGTGAATGGTGGAACCCATTGCGTGACCCACGAAGATCTACCGTAACGGAGTGCAGCTGCATTCGGCTGTTGTGTTCTCCTCGTAGAAATGAGAATTGCCACAAGTGGTTTTCGGCCATGTGGGTTTGCTACGCAGCACAATTGCGTGTGTGTGGTACAGTCGAAGTCTACACTTCGGTGTCTGCGTCTTTTTTTTTTTGTGTGTGGTGCCAGGTTCAAAACAGTCCAGTTTTTTTTTTGGGCACACATGGGTTTGTGTAGTCGAAGTCAACACTTTGGTGTGTGTGTCTTTTTTTTTGTTGTGTGTGGTGCCAGGTTCAACACAGTGCACGTCTTTTTTGTTGGGCGCACATGTATGCGTGCGTGTGTCGTACACTCGAGGTCAACACTTTGGTGCATCCTGAGTCATTTTTTTTGTTAGGAGTGGTGCCAGGTTCAAGACATGTGCACGCGGATTTTTTTGGGCGCACTTCTATGCGTGCGTGTGTTCAACACACAGTGCACGTATTTTTTTTTTCTTGGCGCACATGTATGCGTGCGTGTTTCGTACACTCGAGGTCAACACTTTGGTGCATACCGAGTCTTTTTTTTTCTAGGGTGTGGTACCAGGTTCAAGACATGTGCACGCGTTTTTTTTTTGTTGGGGGGGGGGTATACAGCAGCAGTACAGTTTTTTTTGGCAGAGAACTAAAGATGGTACGTTACAATACAACGGCGGGTGGGCTGCGACCTTTTTTTTTTCAACGCTCCATGGGCAAATTTTAACCCGATGTAGCAAACATAGTAGTTCATTTGCGGTGCATTTCCAGAACAATGTCTGCCTTGTGGGCCACGAGTCGCACACGTATAGCGCACACATAGGCATGGCCATCCATCATGTGCATGCAGGTACACAAGGAAAAACAGGGTCAGCTGCTGTGCCATGGTTCTCCAGCCCAAAATTATTTCAAACGTCGGACGTCTTTCCCCCCCCAAAAAACAACAGGGACCACCAACACGTCAGGGCGGACAGGCGGGGCGTCGGTAGTAGCCCCGGGGAAGCAAACATGCAGACTTCCATTCAACTTACCCAGCATACATATACTGCTATGCCAATAATACCATAGTGCTATGCAACTTCACACAAGCACGTCTACTCTAGAGAGCTCCGTCAGGCAACGAGAAGCAAACAGCAGGCCCGCGGCCTCCTACCCCCCCCCGCCCCCTCTCCCATATAAACCATGCCTCAGTAGAGCTACACGCTCTTCCGCGGTACGTAGCGCGCGGGAGCACCACTATCCGGTCAGGCGCGTTTTCCTTTAGCCACCGCCCTCTGGTTTTGGTGGGCTCCAGAAACGTCAACCTCAGCTTGAAGGCCACTCCCATACGACCGACCCGCATCGCCTGTTTCAAAATGGTGGTGGCGTTCTTGTAGGGTGGGCTCGTCACGACCCAGTCCGGACGCCGCGTGTCCTCGACGTACGCCTCGACAAAAGCGTCTGTGGCGGCGTCCAGGTGGGTATCGGCCACCAAGCTAAGGGGAGGGGGGCAAAAAAAAAAACGAGCGCCGGCAAAAATGCATGTGGTGAAGCATTACATTCGCCATTTGATTCGCGGCCAGGTAAACATTGCTACGTGTGTGTTTGAGCATAGCCTATGCATACGAACTTTACGCCAAAATCTCGAAATCAAACACTGAAAAAAACCGCAGTGCTTGGTGACATCGAAGTCGGTCTGAGACACACAACACACATACCACCCATTCAAGTCGTTCGTGGCGACACGGAGACCGTGTGAACTCAGGACCGTCTTCACTGCGTCTTGGGCCGAGCCACAACAATCCAGTACGCTGCCTTGCAGATCCATGTGTTCCAGAAGAGCTCGCACCTGAAAATTGCGAAAGCAAAATCGTTCGTACTTAATATTTCTTCATTTTGTTAGGTGTTACCTGGCAGAGGGAGTATGCTGGCATGCTGGCAGCATAAATATGTTTGTTTCCACCCTCCTCGCGGGCGCTCTACATATCTTTTGCCGTTGACTTGTGGGGGTGGGGTCGACTCCCTCTCTCCTGCCACGAGACTCTTCGACCAACACGGGCAGGACAGACAACGATGCACGACCACAGCATCCTCTTACTTACCATTTTCTTATGTGAGAACCAAAACAAAGGAAAAGGGAACAATGCCACTCGAGAAATAAGGAGTAAGGCGAGGGCTACCGATGCAAGGTTGAGAGATGGGACGTCCACCACTCGGTAGAATACTACACCATCAACAGCACATGGTGACGGTCGCGATCCCAGAAACTCACATACATATCTACGTAGTCACGTGGGAACGTAGAAAGGATAACTTGACCAGAAAAAATAGAACGGGGTGAAAGTTTTCACGGGGGTCAACGTTGTCGCGTCTTCCTACAATTTCAACGTTCTAGAGTTCGCCCAGATCGATGCATATGACAGGACGCATGAGTCACCTACACCGCCGCACTAAAGGTGGTGTTTCTGCGGTGTCATACCTGGGAGCCCGTCGACGGGTACCTGCCCATCGGCGACCGCTGCCCAATCACCATGGTGTGCAAAGCTCCTTTCTCTTCCCTCTGGCGCCTCCCCTTGTACCTTTGGTACAAATTAACCACACAGTCGGCGCGGCGACAGATGCACTCTCCCGCCTTGAGAGGGTCTCCTACAAGGTCGCGCTCATGAGTCCACCCTTCCCCTACCGTTGCAGACCACTCGCCCAGCTCCGCCCAGTATTCGGAGTCCACCACGTGCTGCCAATTGGTCGAGCACCCGTCGCGGCTACCGGGGCGGTCACATGCGAAGCATCGCCGAAGCTCCCCTGCCGCTGCCGGTTCTTTGCCGTGCACCACTTTGCCACACGAGGCGCGGCGCTGCCGGACCATCCTGGAAAAACCGAAAAAACCGTTGAAAATGGCGGTATATAGCTGCTGGCCGAATCGCCGGTATTGGCGTCTACAATTGGTAATCCTCGATGCTGTTTCAGCCTGAGCAAGTACAGACCCTGACCTATACGACGCACCCGCTGAGACCGCAAGATTCTCCTCGTAAGGCAAACCTGGGCCTGGTGCCGCTGCTGCACCGACTGCACCGAGATGCTCCGCGTGTTGAAGCCCTGCTGAGGCCCTCTTGCGAGGTAGCTTCGGTTTGAAGCACAGATAGCTACCGAACGCCCAAAACTTGCACCAGCACCTCAAGTGTGAGTGTGACAACAGTATACCGAGGTTCGATTATGCCTGTTGGCGACGACGAGGCTCCTACGGCTCTGTGAACACGCAGCCTGCTGTGGCATGCAGCCTGCTGCCCAGGGGGCTTTTGAGGGGGGGTCAAAAAGAAAACAGGATACCATCTGCGAGTGCCCGGCGTACCTGTTTAGCCGCCTTGACCAGTGTTACGTCGGGCCTTGTGGACCGATTCGCGTCGTTTCTTCTCCTCTACCCTTCAGCAGTGCACCTTCTAGCGGATCGTCTCTTCTGCGACACCAACCGCGCGGTGGGCGTCTCGTACTGACGGAGCAAGGACCAATAAAAAAAAAAAAAATTATAAACCAAATAACACTGTGCCTGCTGCTGCTTCGAGCGCTGCTCAGGGAGTCCGTCAATGCATGAGTGGAGAAGTACACCCCTGTAAAAACATTTCGCGGGTGCCCCTCAAATTGGCGGCAGCTGGAGGCGCCGGAGACTGATAGACAAAAACATTCGATCGCCCCGCAACGCCAGGTGCTGTTCTCTACAACAACGCAGGCGCGCGAGAGAGATCTAGGAGCGTTGGCTCGACAAGGGCTGCGAGAACGAGCGACAGAGCAGCAGATTTCCGATCAGATCCAACCCTTCTCTTTGGCGGATCCGGAAAAAGTTTTTCGCGCGAAGACCAGACGACCCCGTCCTTCATTTCAGCACGAGACTCTTTCGTGCCTCTCTTCTCTCGGGAACTAAATAACCATGTCATACCACAGCGGCGGCGGGGGTATGCACAAGAGGCCGTACGACAACGCTCCATACCAGGGCGCGGGAGGCTACCCGGGCGGGGGTGGCGGCGGTGGCGGCGGGGGCGGCGGCGCGGAGATGAAGCGTGCTAGACCCGACCAGCAGCAAGGCGGCTCGGGAATGTACGGTGAGAGAAAAATCAGTGGTTTTGCCTTGATTCATTCAACCCAGAAAGGCGAACCCAACACGAGACAGGTTGTCATCAGCACGTTCCGAGCAGCAGAGTGGCACCACAGGACCCGCCCCGTCGCTAGCTGGACCGTATTCGGTTTCGTTCATCTCGCTGCCCTTCTTTGTCTCTTTTTGTCCGGAGTCGTGAGTTGGCACTTGTTCAAGATCCCGGCGCGGGGCACATTTTCATCACAATCCCTGTTGTTTTTTTTTCCCTCTTTTTTACTATATAGTGGTTGTCTTCACATTAAAAACCATCCCGGTCTCTCTATCCAGTACCTCCTTCTTTCTCAATCTCTCCGTACTAATCCAGCACTTGACTCGGTCAATTTCCGTGGTAGTGCTGAGTACAAAAGCTAGTTTCGGTCTTTGGAATGCCACAGCAAAAAACTCACTATTAATAGTTCGTGAGTTTTTCCTCGCTAATTAAGACCCTGGTCTCCGTTGGAAGCGACGCGCTGCCAAGCTCCTTGTTAGTAGACTTGATCGACTTCATAAGTCGCGAGGGAAGGGATTGCTGTACCCTTCTCGCGATAAAAATATGCCAGGCAGGAACTGCAGGAGGGGGCCGAACTGCCCCTGCTATGTGACCCGGTTGGGTCGTCTAGCCAGTGGAAGTAGAGGATAGGGGCCAGAGGGGCAGACGACAGGTTCAATGATGGGAGAAAAAAAGAAACACAGACAACAAAAACACCCACACACCCACATAAAAAAAAACACACACACATAGCGCGGTCGATGCTAATAATAAAAACACACCGCTCTCTCTGTCGTGCGCCGGCCGGCGGCGATCGAAAGAGAACCCAAGGGGAGAACAGCTCCTGCTACTGCCCGCGGCTGCCGCCGTCCACGTTGGCTGCGCTGCGTGTTGTTCTCTCTCCCCCTCCCTTGCGGGTTATGTAGGGCGGGAGCTTGTTCATGCGGCTCGTCCCCTCTGCTTTTCCTCCTGTTGTGTGAGGAGCAGCAGCAGGTTGGGCTGAAATTTTCACACTAATAAGAACATGTATGCATCCACAACACTCGGCAGATGGCATCTCTGATGCTTCGACAATTCAGTGGACAGGCCCAAAAGTTAGCCCAGTTTTCCGGTCGGTTCCCCTCGACGCCTTGAAAAGGCTTCAGCACATCCCCTTCGACTGCTTCCGTCGTCTCTCGAACGTCTAGTCTTTCTGTGTTTACATGCTTTGTGCATTTTTCGTGTTACACCCGCTACATTGCTCATACACCCGCCGCAGCAGCCCAGTCCTTCATGCTTTTTGTCTCTCGCGAACTTGATTTTTTTTTTTGCGTGGAAATAATCGTGTCGTTTGCGGTAGGGTTGTGTGGTCCGGGATGAAGTAGAAAGTACTTCACAGCTTTACAGCCTGGAGCCTGTCTATGTTTCCATCATGTCGTACACCCCGAGCAGCAGCGTGTCCATTCAACGGCATTTACCCTATGGGTAAATAGGCTTACGGAGGAGTAAATTATGCGCATACATGCGCAAACACGGAACGTTGATTATTCGCACACATGCTCAAACAGCGAACGGGCTCTACAAATATTCTTCCATGTTGATGTATGTACTTCAACTATATGCAACAATGTGTACAGCAGCTAACGGCAGCAGTGTGGCGCTCGCTTGATCTGCAGGTCCTGCGATTGCTTGTGGCGCGAAATTATAGTTGAAAGGAAGGATGGAGACTACATCTGACTCTTAATTGTGACGCCACGCTCTCACTGACCGCCACTGGTTGCTTCTCATATCCGCCGTCATGCTGTGCTGTACCCCCCCACGTGCCACTTCTCAACCGGTGATCATCGTGTTTCTCCGTGTTCATACAAAGTAGCAGATTTAGCTCGCCGTGAGTTGCGAGCGATATCACCCCCCTGGACCTATTTTCAAAGCTCGGTTTGTCCATGACGAAGAGGATGCGGATGTCTAAATGATCTCACAGCAAGATCACCCGTTCGAGATAATAGTACATAAAGCAGTCGCAAGGGACATGTTTGAACTCTTTTCAGCCGTGAGTCGGAAGAAGATAAGATATGCATATCTACGTTTTCAGGAAAGCTCTCGAGGGAGACGACGGGTCAAACGCTGCAATTTTCATTTTTTTTTTCCGAGTATCACCTGACGAATCCATCTTCGTCAACATGATTTTTTTTTGGACCGACTTTCCTTCCCCAGTGTATAATCGAGCTTTGAAAAATCGGTCCAGGAGGTGTGAAATCTTTTGATGCACTTTGTAGGGTATAGATATCCCGCGACGTTGTCGTTGCGGTGGTATTGGCACTTGCCGGGAACCGTCTACTTCTGCACACGACATCAGCGCCTTTGACTCTGTGGTAATATCCGACCGGTTCGTAAATCTCATTTGTGTTTTTACGTACGTGCGTTTCTAGCGGCGCCGCAACTAATGTTCCAATACACGGCGCTACGGTATCGCCGAATGATTTCGGTGCGCAACAAATCAGCAAAATGTTTCGCGTCCAAAACCGATTTTTTTTTTACAATAAGACTCCGCACCTCGGGGAGGATATAGCTTGCTGTTGGTGGAGGGTACAGCAGTAGCCATGTTTCGTTGATGTTGATTCCTTTTTGACACGGGGCCTCGCGCCGTTATGATCACACAAGTGTATGATGAAAACGTCAGCTGGTGGTGTTTGTGATCCATGTCGTCGTTTGTGACCATAATTCCCTCCGATTTTTTTCAAGTCTTTTCGCTCCGCTGGCCACCCCTCCACACGCCCGTACCCCGTGCCTGCCTCACGATCGTGGTCTGTGAGACATTCCCGGTCATGTTTCGTTTGCGTTGTTTCGTTGTTGATGTTTTTGTCGCTCCTCGATCAACCAACCCTAGCATCCCCCAACCCAAACACGTTTCTCTCTCACCGCAACGTGGTCTGTGCAATTCCCACCGACGTCAGGCCCACCCGGCGGCAACGGCGGCGGGGGGCCCCGCAACATGGGAGGTGGCGGCGGCGGTCACCCCGGCGGCGGACATCCCGGCGGCGGCGGAATGGGGGGACCCCGTGGCAGGTATGACATGACTGGGTCGAGGTGGTGGGGGNNGGGGGGGGGGGGGGGGGGGGGGGGGGAGGGAGCAGGGACCGCCTTCGTGAGAAGAAAAGAGTACGAGGAAACAGAACAGGAAGGGCATTTGCAGACCCTTTATGACCCAACTTCCTCGATTGCCTTTCTACACCCAACGTGTATTCTTCAGTCAATGAAACACCCTGCGAAGGCTACTGGGGGGGGGGCGGCGGCGGGCCCGCGGTCAACCATATATTTTCACTCTGGTTTGGAAACTATGCATGGCGGCTGAGAATTCGGAGAGACGGCGGGGGNGGGGGGGGGGGGGGGGGGGGGGACGCGCCCAGCCAACTACTGCTCTGTTTTGAAACCAATCAAACAGCGCACAAGATAAGCAAAGGCTTGAGAATTGGGGGGACCGGCGGGGTCCCTTGATTTTTTTCCCTTAATTTTTTTGTTTTTTCGACGTGCCTTAATATTCAGGTACGGCCCCCCCCAGGAGCCCCACCCCTCCAACGGCGGCCCCGGCGGCCCCGGCGGGCCTGGCATGTCCAGGGGCTTCTCGGGGAACGGACCGCCGCCGTCTGGACAGCCCGGACCCGGGCAGCAGCACCACCAGCAGCACCACCAACATCACCCTTACGGGCAGCCCCCGTACGGCCAAAACCAGCACCACGGGCAGCAGCAGCCGCCGCAGCAGCACCAGCAGCACCAGCAATCTGGTTACCCGGTGGGGCACTCGCAGCAGCAGCAGCAGCCGCAGCAGCACCAGCAGCGTCCCCCATACGGTCAGCAGCAACAGCAACAGCAACAGCAGCCGCGGTACGGCGGCGGCGGCGGCAGCGGCCACGCTGCTGTGGACTCGTCGACCCAGAACCCCTCCAGCTCTTCGTCCTCTGCAGGGCCATCCTCTTCGGCGACCCCGACGGCGACCGGCAGCGGCAGCGGCGCCGGCTACGCTGGTGCCGGCGGGTACGGCGGGTACGGCAGCACTGCCCCAGCCCCCGCCGGCGGCGGGGCGCCGTCGTCTTCCTCTTCTGCCACCGCTCCGGGACAGCAGCAGCAGCAGCCGCCGCCGCAAGCGTCTTCTTCTGCCGGTGGCGCCGGTTACGGCGGCCGCTCCAACCCCGCCGGCGCCGGCGCCTACGGGCACCCCGGGACTCAGGCGGCGGCCACCGCTACGCCGTCGGCGGCGTCTTCTTCCACCGCTCACCACGGCGGGTACGGCGGCGCTGCTGCTGCTGCCGGCGGGTACGGGTCTTCTGCCCAGCAGCAGCAGCAGCACGGGAGTAGTGCTGCTGCCCCCGCGGCGGCGGCTACCCCTGCGCCGGTTGCTGCTGCGGCTGCCACTCCGGCGGCGGCAGCAGCGAGCACCACTGCTACGGCGGCCACGACGGCTGCAAGCACGGGCGGCTGGGTGTACGACCCCGTGAAGGGCTGGGTGATGGCCCCCGCGCCGGCTCCTGCGGCAGCTACGCCGGCCGCAGCCACTCCGGCGGCGGCGGTGGCGGGAGCAACGACGAAAGCGGCTTCCCCGACGACGACGACGACGCTATCGGCGGGTTCTTCCAGGGCTAACGGCCCGGCAGTTGCGGCCACGGCCGCCACCCCGGCCGCGACCACCTTCCAGCAGCAGCAGGCGAGTGCCTACGGCGCCTACTCCTCGTCAGGCGGGTACGCCCAGAGCGGCACGCCAGTGGCCGCGGCGGCGGCCACCGGATACGGGCAGCAGGCTAGCGCGGCCGGCTCGAACGGCGCCGCCGCTACCGCTAGCGCCCCCGGCGCTGCTGCTTCGTCTTCCGCCGCCCCCGCCGCGTCCGCTTCCCAGCCGGCGCCGGCGCCGGCGCCTTCTCCGAACGCCGCTTCTGCCGCGGCCCCCGGCGGATACTACGGGCAGCAGTACCCGCCGCAGCAGCAGCCAGGAGCGGCAGCGGCGCCTATTGCCCCAGGGCAGTACAACCCTGCCACGGGCCAGTACGCTGGCTACGGCACGACCACCTCTGCCGCCCCTGCTCCCGCTAGCACCACAGCCGCCAGCCAGCAGCAGCAGCAGCAGACCCCCGCAGCAGTGGCCGGAAGCACCGCCCCAGCCTCCGCCTCTCCCTATGCTGCCGCGGGAGCTTCCACCACCCCGTCCGCGGCTGCCACCCCTGGCGTTTACGGCGCGCAGCCGGCGTATGCGGGGCAGCAGCAGCAGCAGCAGCAGCAGCCTTACGGAGATCCGGCCTCCTCTCAGCAAACGACGGCGGCCCCGGGCACAGCAGTAGCGACCCCCGGTGCCACCGCCCCATCGCCGTATACCGGGTATGGCGTAACGGCGCCGGCGCCTGTAGGGGCCCCGGCTGCTGCCACGCCGACCGGTTACGGAGCAGCGGTGACGGCTGGTGTTACCGCCACCGACCCTGCGACGGGATACGGCACCTCGCAGCAGCAGCAGCAGCAGCAGTACCCGGGTTACGGCGGCTACGGCGGTGCTGCCCCTACCGCCGCCGCTTCCGGGGCTTCGTCGGCGACCGGCTATGGCGCGGCGACGTCTGCATACGGGAGCTACGGAAGCTCGGCGGCTACGTCTCGAGTTGGGCAGCAGGTGAGCACGCCCTTGCTGTCTTTGGTTGTCGATCTGACGCCCGATCCGAAGTGGTAACACCGGACTTGCATGTATATTCCTTTCTGGAGAGGAAACCCGCTAGCGCCAGCGCCCTGTTGATTTCTTGGTTCTTTCGTGTGGATCGTAGCCTGGGCCGGCGAGAACCCGCTACATTCCGGCATGGTGGTGATTCGAGGTCTATGGTCTAGCGACTACAAGGCGTGCGTTTTCATGAGACCCCCCCCCCCCCCCCCCCCCCCCCCCCCCCCCCCCCCCCCCCCCCCCCCCCCCCCCCCCCCCCCCCCCCCCCCCCCCCCCCCCCCCCCCCCCCCCC